CTTTATTTTTTATTATATATACAGACATTTATGTAACTAGACACCCATTTTTGGCGCTTTTTTTGAGTCATTGAACTTGTGATCCCCTTTTCCGCTAAAAAAGTAAGAATTAAAAAAAAAACAACTCTGTGGTGCCCTGCATCCTGACATGCTCTTTCTAAGAAAAAAAAATTAAACATATAGCATGAGCCTGGACCGAGAAATCTTGTACAGAAAATGAGCTATTTTTGACCCTTGTTTGGTTCATATCTGTGTCAAACATCATAGTATCGAGCTGAAAATTTTACCACAGCCTCCTCACTTCAGCCCCAACATATGCTCCAAATTTCAGCCAATTTGAACATATCTGGGCTGAGATCGATTTTTGAGGGGGAGGGGGGCCTTAATGTTAGTAGTAAAATAAGAGTTATTAGTATTAAAAACTCCCAGGATTATATGAGTTTTACATTGTATGTCTACATATAACTAAAGTAATACTTCCAAAAAAAAAAATGCTCACTGCCATTCAACTGTGACATGTGCTATAATTTTGACTGTTGTTTTCATTCTTTCAATTGCATTATGATTAATATGCAAACGGATAATTTGACAAGAAAAAACAAGAAGATAAAAAGTACATGACGTCTTGCCTGAATAACTACACGTGATATGTATATTCATTAATATTCACAAAAGAAAATAAGTGAAAGTTTGTTTTGATTATGTCAAATTCGTCGTCATCTAATATTGTACGTAATTTTTTTGATAATGATAAAATAAATAATTATTGTTCATCTTTTTGCATTTAGAATACTGCTATACGAACACGTCGTTCAAATAGAAAATATCGTCATCGAAATGAATTTTCTTATCTTATAAATCATCCAACGGTGAATAATTTTTTCGTTTATTTTAAATATTTCTTTTTTAAATCAAGTTTTGGTCATCTTGCATTAGTTTTGATGTTTATTGGATTATTTTATGTATTCTTTTTTTGTTATATTCAATGGCCAATAATATGTCAATGGTTACATAATTCTACAGCAACAGAAATCAATGAGATTTAATTTATTTTTATGATTCGTTAGACATAAATAGTAATTCATCGTTTATTGTTTTTATTTATTTCATCTAATACACGCTGTATAACTATTGTTCATGGAGTTTTTACTCAAAGAATATTAAAATGTTAGGATGTTTTTATTAATAAAACCATGTTTTCATTTTTTTAAACAGATTATCAAAAAATTTGGTCAAAGTTACTTTGTATCTTATACATCGTAGTTAGAAATTTCTTAACAACAATGAATTCTTCTAATCATTCAAACTGATATTTGTATAGAGATATAGGAATGTCAAATAGTTTAATCATACAGTTTGACTTTAGTATTATAAGCAAATAAAAACATCTATATGATAACTACCATCGGTGTTTTTGGAAAGAATTGTATCGTGGTGTATTGTATCAAAACGGGTGAATACGTTTGAAATCTATACTAGTCATACAATCTAAATCAGATCCATTTATGAGATAAATTTTTATGAGTAAAATATATTCTGAAATTGTTTTCTTTTCTTCATGAATTTAAATAGAAAACAGTCTTTGCAATTGTTTATAGCACGAAACGAAAGTCGTAAGTGCTATCGTGAGTTCTTACGAGTATCGGCGGTATTATGAAGAAACGTGAGATATAGACAGATTCATATCTATCGATTCAATCTTTGGAGTAGAGGTGTTTTTTTTTCGTATTTTTATTGCTCTTTATAATAAAGAATAAATATAAATAAAATCTTTATATTTATCAAATAAACTTTTCTTTTATGAGAATCAAATTCCTAATTTGTACTAGACCGTTCACAAAAAATTATCATATCAAAGACACAAATAAAATATAGAGAAAAAGTTTTTTTTTTGCATATATTTTTTCATGTGTATCAGCTATAATAAAAAAAAAAGAATATTGATTAACATATCCTGTTGTTGCCCTAGGTATTGTTCTTTTTACTTATCACAGGAAGAAATATGATAAAGTAATTAATTCATTTTAGCTTTAGAATATTCTATTCAAATCGAATGGAAAAACTCTGCAACATATATACTGATGAGGAAAATTCTCAAACTGATAAATCACTTTTGGATCGAGATTATGTAGATCTAAATGAGTTATGAATATCCTAAAAAGAGTTCGTGCCTTTAGGCTTATTGCTGTATACTTTTACGGTATCTTTCAAATGAATGTCATGGTAACAGAAAGATTGATTTTCGAATTTCGACTTGAAATATTGCATAGACGCAGGCCTTAACAAGAGTAGTTTATATTGTGAAAGCATCAGGTCGTTTTCTTGAGGGTGATCACAATATTTATTTTTAAAAATACTGTAAAAATGCACTATCTCTAAATCAATACGCCAATTAGGACACGAAATCTTTTCAATATATGCGTTAGAGTCTTGTGGAAGAGTCTCAAATTTCTTAAATCAAAACCTTTAAGATACTTCAGATTTTTTATTTTTAACAAATATCTTACAATTTAAATAAATAACAGAAAAAAGAACTTAGCTACCATTTGACAAATTAATTCCATTATCGCGAAAAATGTCACAACGCGATTCTGTGCGACATCTATTCTTTCTAAATCTTAAAGACTTTCGCAGAGAAAATCATAATGAATATTTCAATCGCATTTTGTTTCAATTAACAAGTTTCGGCATTTTTTAATTTTTTAAACGGAATGAAGTTTTAAAAAAAAAATCTATTTCAAATCTGCACTCATCACGTTCTTATTTCGAAATTATAATTAGATCTACAGAACGAGTAACTGATTGACTTGAGTCATGACTAATGCGTCGAGAAAAAGAATTTGTCATAGCAACTAAGCAAGTGAAAAACAATTATGTCAACTATTATCTTTCAGTTAATAGGCTTCGAAACATCAAAAAGTTTATCCCGAATTAGCCCATTTCGATCTATATAATGCACATAGTCTTGGCTCAAAATTAATTTATCAGTTGAAGGATTTCTTTCTTGCAATTTTATGTATTGACCTTTTTTAGATATATATTTCAATTAGATTGGTTTTCAGTCTTTCGTTTATTATCAAACATCATCTTTTTTATTCATTTAGAATTTAACGAACAATAAGAATGATGAAATAAAAACGAACAATACATATATTTGTTTTCGACGAGAATTCTGATAATGGGAATGCGTTTTTTTTTTTTTTTTTTTTTTTATCACAAAAAGAAAATAAACGTCAAAAACCAACACAAAAACTTAGGTGTTGTTGTTGTTTTTTTTTTTTTGTTCTTAAAAAATTAATGTATGATGTTATTATATATAAAGAAAATAAGTTACATCGATAAATGCTTTCTAAAGCAATCATGCGATGTTATGCACTGGTTTGTTTTTAATTGAAATGAGAAGAAAGAAGAGAAAAAAAAACGATACAAGTTTGGAACTGAAGAACAAAAAAAAAAGAACTCAATGAATGTGTTTTGATAAAAAATAGGATAAAATTCAACAGAAATGATCCACATTTTACTGTTGTGAATGCCAAGTCGAATTATTATGTGTACGTTGTTGTTGTTGTTGATGATGATGATGATAATGATTTCGATTATTATTATTATTACCAGCATATGAAGCACCATTTCGAATATCCTTTACAAAAAACAAATATGTTTTCTTATTTAATTTGTTAATATTTGAATGCTTACACGATTATCAACTGAAGGATAACCCATAGTTCGATCATGATGGGAAGTATAATAAGTTGGTACTGTATATAAAACCGGATTGAAATAGTATGCTGGTGCTGGATTAGGTACTGTTAATGAAGCTCCCTGAGAGAATGAAGCTGCATTCGCTGATAATTTACTTGTTGTTGGAGTATCTTTTGTTGTTTGAGATGCATTTAATAATTCACTATTTGATAAACGACTTTGTCCATAATGAGCAAAAAAATCTTTATCATATGAAGATCGATCTAAATGACGAAAATGTATTTTTTAAAAGTTTAAAAAAAAATATAAATAAATACCATATTTATTAGATTGAACAGTAGCAGAATGATATGGTTGTTGAGTAGTATATGTTGGTATATAATCTAATTGAAAATAAATATATTTTATTATCAATAGAATATAAATTTCTTACTACTTGTTGGATATGTTGAATAAGGTTCAAAGCCAGCCGTTGACCAAGAATCAACTTGTGTTATTAATGGATAAATCTAAACATAATATTGAATTTATAGATGAGGAAAAGGATTGAGGAGGTTATTATCCATTTCTGAAAATAAGTCTCTTGGGCAGAATTCTTGTAACTTTTGAAAGGAAAATGATAGAGACCTGGGATTTTCACCGTTGGATAGAGGACATCAGGGCACGTAAGGCTATGTAAAAAAAGATCTGTTATACAAGGTATGTGTTTATAACTTATTAATAAATTTATGGAAAACCGCTAAAATAAGCTTCAAATTTAGAAATCTGAAATTTCCTTTTTCTCACAGGAAATCCTTCTCTTTCAAAAAGGGCAATTTCAACATTTTATCTTGTTGAGTTTAAATGATACATAGGCACTGTCTACTGTATATCTGATGTGTGAATCAGTTCTATACTGAGATTAAATCTCAAGAATAGGCATATTTTATGTAATTTTCATCCAAATTTGATGACGCAGATAACGAGTATTTTTATGGATTGACCCATCGGTTTTTACATAGACTTATGTGCCCTGATGTTCTCTATCCAACGGTGAAAATCGCAGGTCTCTATGACTTTCCCTTTAAAAGTTATAAGAATTCTGCCTAAGCGACTTATTTTCAGAAATGGATAATAATCCCATCATTTTATTCTGCTTGAAAGTTGAGACAAAGAGAGTTGCATCGTAATTCGATATTCTCAATGAAATTTTCTAATCGGAATTGCATAGTTGCCTAATAGGTACAAATTATTTTTTTTTCCCACATCCATCAAATCAAAAAATGTTCGAGCCCAATCCAACGGACTCTATTGAGGCAATTACACCTCTTCAAAAATCAGATTGACTCTTCCGAAGTTTTTGGTTATTATAACATGTGCTATGTGTCTGTACTTTTAAAATTAGGTGTTCGTACTCGCTTGAATGACCGCCCAATCATGAAAACTTTCTTCAGTGTTCTATTGTTTCTAGCAATAATCTTCTGATTGGCAAGTCTCAATTTCGGAACAATCCTGTTTATAGAATTCTATATATGGTATACATCATTTACTTCCCTTATTAAAATATTCACAATATTTTCAATTAATAAAAATTTCTATGGATGTTTTCTGCTCATTAATTTGTTCGCATATACAAAATAATTGATAAATTTATTATCTGAGAAAAATTTTTCAAAACAAAAATTCTTTACTGTAGATGAAGGATAAGGATAAGTTCCAACAAAGTATTGTTGTTGAGGTTGTACTTGATATGATGAATGTTGAGTATAATTTCCCGGTTGAAGTATTGTTCCTTTCGAAGTATGTTTATAATTTGGTGATTGTTGATTCCATGTTGATGGTGCTTGAGTATACTCTCTTGGTATTGATCTAGTTTTTAAAAAATAAAAATTATGAAATAAATATAAAATAATATCATTACGAATATGTGCCAGGTGTATTATATGGTGTAAAAGCAGATGAACTACCACCGGAACTATTACTTATATTAGATAAAGGTTGTTGAAATGTATTTGGTATAAATGAATTATTATTATTATTATCATGCGATGTCGATGAAATATATTCTAAAGTATTTGATGTTGCTGTTAATGGTAAATCTGTTGTATCATTAAGAGATGACGAAGATGTAGTCGTTTGTAAAGGTGCTTGTTGTTGTAATGAATCAGTTAAATGATCAGAAAGATGAGAAGTTTCAACATTTGAATTATTTGCCTTAAATAGAAAGAAAAGTTTTAAAATGAAATTAAACGATATTATTAATTTACTATGGTATTATCCGTTATTTGTAATGATGATATTGAAGATGATGAAAGTCGATTAGTAGTTTCAAGTAAATCTGTATCACTTTCATTAGTTGTTTGATAATTGATATAAATCGATGATATATTATTTTCAACACTAAAATTATTGAATATAAATTTTCAAATGAAAATTTATTTATTTAGAATATTTAAAAAACTCAAATAAAAACTATTAGCACAATTCTTACGGAATTAATATGTCAAACATAATATTACTGATGTTTCTATATATAGGATGATTGTTTTATTCTATCTGTTTTCGAGTACACTTTTCTTTTTTTTTTATTTAATTCTCTAGAAATAAGATAAGACAATAGTAACTAGATGTTATTGTGGACATGATTTATTCTCTATTGAAAACATATTCCCGTATTCAATAACAAAACAAAGATTAATGGGGAAAAATTTTAATTTGTAACAAAAAAATATTTTCAATAGAAAATAATCCAACAAGGAAATAGTTAAAACAAAGTTTTTATATATAGAACGATAGAGAAAAATCTCTATGATAACAGAAACTTGATTATTTTTGAGATTTTCTAAAAGATAGAATAATTTAATGAGGATATCCAAGATGGTCTTGGTTTCATTTCACGATCGAAAATAAATGCGAAAACCTCGGATTTAAATCCGATGGCGTGCTATGTTAGCATGGACCATACTGTATGCGACCCTATCCTGTGACCACTGACTCTACTCTTAGAGTGATAGAATATCTTTAGAAATCACAGGAATTCAGTTCAGATTCGTGTTTAGCTTGGAAAACTGGGTGAGAACAGTTATTTTTGAATGGATTTGTGTTTGTATCTACCAAGATTACGATCGTAAGCAACCTCATCAATCTATAAGAGATATATAATAGATACAGGCATCACTATTTTCCTAATAGCTCACCAATATTAATAGCTATCGAATTAGGGTTTTTACTTTTCGATAGTCCTTTTGACTAGCTACAAAATCAGGTAGTTGGGAAATCCCAAAACTACTGGTCATCTGAGACACATCTAGGCAATTTGGTTTCTGGATGCAGTTTTTCTGCATTTTGAGACCTTTTTCAGGCGATGTTTTGTTAGAAAGCTACAATTTGGTTCAAAACTAATATCAGATTCGGAATCACCGTCAAAAACTGTATGTTGTGAAGAATTTTGAGAAAAATATTTTTTTTTGAAAAAAATCCCTGTACCCCCCCTCAGGGATGGTCTTCTCAATAATGACAATTTTTTCGATAACTCAGCCATTTCGTGACGGATCCTTTTCATCTTCGAACTCGATCGAGACATTGTTAAGACTGAACTGTGTAGAAAATTTCATCATGATCTGACTCTCCTTTCGAAAGTTATCGTGTAAACGGCCGGCCGGACATACTAACCGATTCTAGAGTATACTCACTTTTTGAGTACACAAAAAGGTCAATTTGTAAATCGTTAGTCAAAAAAAAAAATAACGCTTGAGTTTTTTTTTTTTTTGGTTTATTTACTTTGTTTGTTGTTCATCATCATTTATGTTAGTTATAGATGATGATTTTTGATCATCAAATGATTCAGCCATCAAAGAACTATTGGACGGAGAAACTGCGATTGGTACAGAATCATTCCATTGAACATCACCAAATTGAATATCGATTGGTTTTGTTGAACATTGAATTATTGGATGCATTAATACAGGTTCCTGAGGAATAGACGATGGTGTTGGACGTTTTGTAGATGATGATTTTATCATACTATTATTATTCAATGTTAATGTTTGTGTTGTACCAAGAATAAAAACATCATCGTCAATTGATGGTGATGGTTGTGGTGTTATATTTTCTTTTGTTTTTGACAATTGATTTATTTCAATTGAATTTTGTTGATTTGATAATAATTTATTATTATTTGAATAATTACGAGATGAATAATGTAAATTTGATTGAATAAATTGATTTCGACCGGGTTCATTTCCTTAATAGAACAAAACCTACAGATTAGAAAAATAAAAAAATTCTTTTTTTTACTACGTCGTCCATGATTTGTACGTGCTGATGATGGATAATGATACTGATCTTGTCGATGTCGTTGTCTACCACTTCCACGTAATGATGGTGTAGGGGATGTATATTGAGACGGAGAATGTTCACTATCACTTTGCATACCACCATTTAATGTTTGATCAACTGGATTATTATTATTATTATTATTTTTCTTTTTATTATTTGATTTAGCTGTTTGCCAACCACCATCCTACATAAGTAAAATATAATTTCAAAACAAAAAAAAATAATAATAATTTCGTTTTTTTTTTCTACCTCAAAATCGCCTGCTTTTATTCGTGCAATTGTATTTTGTATATTATAATCACATTCATGAAAAACAATAGCTATTATATCAAGATTAATATCTCCACAAATTTCTCGAATCTAAAAAAAAAAGAAACATCGATGATAAGTATATTTTAATATAATAATTTTTTTTTTTTATTTACTAGTAATATCTGCTTTTGAATAGTCGCATCATCGATTTTTTCTGGTCGTAATTGAGCAAGAGGTATTCCATCGATACTATACATTGTTGATAACTGAAAAATAAGCAATCTTTTATCTATTGTATTCTATTCGATATAATTATTTGAAAAAAAGGTCTTGCCTCCCCCTCCCCTCCCCTTAATATTGTAAATTTAGGAGAATGAATCATAGTGTTAATATTGACTCATGTCACGTATTCGAAACATTGTATTTGAGAAGTTGTTTTTTTTATTAAAAACAAATAATTTTAACACATTAAAATAACATGATTTATTTCATAAACATGTAAATAAACCTATGTAATAACGAAACTTTCAATAAAAAAAGAAATGACTTACATCAGATCGATTGATATTTTTTTCGTCGTTTGATTTCGATGACAGACCGTCCATATTTAACTGATTAATAATAATAATAATAATAAATATGTTAAATTCTCAAATATTTTCATTGTAAAAATATCATAATTTAATCTTCAATAAAAAACAAATAAATAATAATTTTATTTTTTTTTTGTTTTTTAATTCTAAATTTTTTTTTGTCACGAGGAATACAGGAAAACAAAAACATAAAGGAGATTTCAAGGAACAAGAAATACGAAGAATTTTTTTTTTTCATGTAAAAAAAAAAAAAAGACGCATCAACGATTAAATCCATTAATAATCCATGGACAACCAATAGAAAGAATTCAAAACATTAATGCAGTTTTTGTTTCGTTTTTTGAATTAAAATAAAATTTTCAAAAATGGTAAAAGGTAATTATACATTAGAAATGATTCTGGCATTTAGCCAAAGAATATCTGTTTGAAAAATCAAGACGGACGAAATGAAAAATAAATAATGAATATAAAGTGATTTGTTTTAGTTTTTTTTTTCTTCTTCTCATTTTAGATTGAATTTACTTTATTATATATCTTTAGTATATTTAAATCTAATGGAAATCAATCATACGACCGGCAATAAAATGCCGAGTCAAGAACATTTAAATTTTATTAATAAATTAAATGATTCGAAAATTCCACGACAAAGTTTATTAATTGCTAATCGTTTATTTATGAAAAATTTTCCTCGTGAAGTAAAGTTTAATTTTAACAAAAATATCAAACGTTTTTTTTTTTTTTTTTCTCAATTTTATTAGACAACTGGTGCTGAAATTGAAAATTGTTTTCAAACATTTGGTCCTGTACATGATGTTAAAATAATTGCAAAAGAAAATACGTATGTTTTTTACAAAAATTTAATTTTCAGTGTGTGTTTGGATGTTAATTATTTTGATTATAAATAAAGTTTATACTAATACTTTTGAAATAGCACGCAAAGCAGTTAGTTTTATGAGAGTGAGATTTAAATATCAAAAGGAAATAAAAAAAAATAAATTTTAAGTTTTGTATGAGATCTTAGGGCATGGTAAACAAAAGAAGTCTTAAGATTTTCCTCCTTTGCTGTAATTTCTCGGAAATAGCTCGACGAAAAAAATTATTAAACTTCCAAAGCCCATCCGGAAAACTCTACTTTAATTTTTCTTATGATAACTAATATCCATTTCAATGAACAGTGCACTCGGTTGTAAGTTGAATAACTTCGGCTAGGAAACAGCTAGAGACCTGCGGTTTTCAGTTTTGAATAGAAGGGCAGCAACTTTATAT